CTGGCCAATTTATTTTTTAAATTATTAAATATTAGAAGACTGTATCTTTTATTTTTTGAGTCAGTGTTTCACTCTGTCACTCAGGCTGGAGTGCAGTGGCATAATCATGACTCACCTTAGCCTCCAACTCCTGTACTGAAGAAATCCACTTCCAGCCTTCCAAGTAGCTGGAACTACAGGCACGTGCACCATGCGCAGCTTATCTTTTGATTTATTGTAGAGATGAGGTCTCGCAAAGTTGTCCAGGCTGTGCTCGAACCCATGGGCTCAGGCAATTCTCTCACCTCGGACTCCCAAAGTGCTGGGATTATGGGTGTGAGCCACTGCACTCAGCCCACTAACAGCTTTAATCAACAAGACTGTAGAAGGGGCCCTAGCAAGACAAAAATGTGATTGCATTGTGTTCTCTAACTTCAATTGCAGGTTGTCTAACCTGTTTTCAGAACCTCAGTGAAAAGATATAAGTGCTGAGATGGTAAGTTGTTTTGCTAAAAAGCTTCTTCACACATCTGGAATATAACCTCTTAAACCCAAGGCTGTGTTAACACCACAGCTTATAAAACATGTTTAGACTTGGATTGCATGGAGTCATAAACATGTTGAACATAATACTGTTAGCTTATAAATTGGGCCTGTTATTAAATTCTGAGGTCATTAGCTTTTTCTTTTGTCCTTTCTTTTTTGTTCTTCCCAACTATACACACTCTGGAAATCCAAGGGGTAAGAAAACTGTTTAGTTTGTCTTCCATGATTGCTTCCACCAAGATGCCTCTGGTCTTTTCTCATCCAAACTCAACACAAAAGCTGTTTCTCTCATATCACTGCCATGACTACAACACAAAGCCAAGATGTCTCTTTTTTTTTGTCTTTTGCTTCACAGACTCATTTCTTTGTGTGTGTGTGTGTGTGTGTGTGTGTGTGTGTGTGTGTGTGTGTGAGACTTGGGATTTCTTCATTTTAAAATTTATTATAAAGATGTGGAGTACAATTCAGGGTTAGGTATACAAACGTTGATTATGCTGGTACCCTTGTGGATGAGGTGTGCCCCTCCCTTGCCGAGTAATTTCCTTCAACTGCCAATTCCACCTCCCCTCCCCTGACAGTTTCCCACTTCTGCCAATCCCTTTCTTATAGCATTATGAAAATTGTTCAAGGTCCACTTATGAGTGAGAACATATGGCACTCTGTTCTTTGTTTTTGTGACAGATCATAGAGTATGATCGACTTTAAATCCATCCAAGTTGCTGCGAAGTCCATATATTTGTTCTTCTTTATGACTGCGTAATAGTCCATTGTGTATATGTGCCACTTTTTTTAATCCAGTCCAGCTTCGATGGGCAACATGGTTGGTTCCATGTTTTTGCTACTGTGAATAGAGCTGCAACAAACATGCGTGCAGGTATCTTTTTTGTAGAATGATTTGAGTTCTTCTGGGTATATTCCCAATAGGGGAATTGCTGGGTCATATGGAAGGTCAATTTCTAGTTCTTTCTCAAATCACCACACTGTCTTCCAAAGGGGTTGTACTAGTTTGCATTCCCACCAGCAGTGTAGAAGCGTTCCTTTTTCTCCACAGCCTCACCAGCATGTTGTTTTATTAATAATGGCCACTCTTACTGGGGTTAGGTGGTATCTCAGTGTAGTTTTGATTTGCATTTCTTTGATGATGAGTGAGGCTGAGCACTTTTTCATGTGTCTGTTGGCTGCCCATATATCTTCTTTTGAGAAGTGTCTATTCATGTCTTTTGCCCACTTTTTAAAGGGGACTGTGTTATTCTTTTCAGCACGTTTGAGTTCCTTGCAGATCCTAGATGTTAGGCCTTTGTCAGATATAGTTGGTAAATATTTCTTCCCATTCTGTGGGCTGTACAAAATCACTTCTAAGGTCCTTGGCAGTTGGGCAGGCAGGCAACACGAGGTCCCAAATCCTGCCTCTGTGTGCTGTTGGGTAAGTTCTCCTTGCTAGAATTACTTTATGGGTCTATAAAATGAATAACCTGCACCATCTGCTCAGAGATCCCCTCTACTTCTAAGCCATGACAATAACCTGAATAAGATTATAAGATTTTGTAGTCACATGCTATATACTGATGTTTTAGTCAACAACACACCACATATGTGACAGTAGTCTCATGAGATTGTAATACTGTATTTTTACTGCACCTTTTCTATGTTTAGATGCGCAAATACTTATCATTGTCACAATGGCCTACAGTAATTCAGTACCATAACATGCTGAACAGGTTTTTGCCTAGGAGCCATAGGCTATACTATAGCCTGGGTGAGTAGTAGGCTATACCATCTAGGTTGATGCAAGTACACTCTGTGATATTCGTACAATGCAATCACTTAACATGTATTTCTCAGAACATATCCCTGTTAAATACTTTCAGCATTTTAAACATGCTAAGACACTCCTCATTTGCTGCATAGACTGTATGAAATCCTGGAGGGAAAAAAAACCAAAGACAAACTTACAATGAAAAGACATTCCAGCGTCCACCCCCAGTGGCTCAGTGTGTGTAGAGGAATTAAGTGAGCCATGGAGAGTTCTACAAATATTATATAGTCTACAACTAGAGCTTTTTTTGGGGGGGGATAAGTTCTCACTTTGTCTCCCAGGCTGGAGTGCAGTAGAGCTATCAAGGCTCACTGCAGCCTTGAACTTCTGGGTGAATTTAGTGATTTTCCTGCCTCAGCCTCCTGAGTTGCCAGTACTACAGGTGCTCATCACCACTCCTGGCTCATTAAAACTTTTTTTTTCTTTTGGTGGAGATGAGGTCTATGTTGCCCAGGCTAGTTTGGAATTCCCAAGTGATCCTTCTGCCTCAGCCTCTCAAAATGTTGGGATTACAGACATGAGCCACTGTGCCTGGCCTAGTGCTCTACATTTCTTTACCAGTGAAAAACAAACTGGTATTTGAACTGTACATTCCAAAATAGAATCTGAGAAGAGAGAATCAAGTGTGTAGCAAAACCAACAAACACACAAAAAACCATTTGATTAGAGAGACAATTCACAGCATTTAATTCAAGTTAATCCAGTTTGTTCAATAACATGTCATATCTGTACATATCTGCATTAACTTACTGTCACTAGCATCTTCTCTTTGGAGATCATTTTTAAAAATCTGGGTTGAATCCCTGATGCTTAACTCTATGGTCAGAAACCTTTTCCCTTACCAGCAAGCAAACTCTTAATCACAAGGAAAATAGTTCATAGTCCATAATCTTTCAGGGTCATGCTTTTCACGTGAGGCTCTATTCTGGGGATAGTGTTGTTTCTCACCAATGTTTGCTCAACACAAACAACATGCCCCTCCATATCACAGAAGGGAAATGAGGACTAGTCTCCAGAGAACAGCAGGCAGTCGTCCAGGGAAGGAGCCCCTACGGCCTGTAGGCAGAACAGTCATTCTGCCAGGGTAAGGGGACAAAGTTAGAGATCTTGCTTTCCCAACTAGTTAGCAATAATAAGGTGTAACAAGGTAAATGGAAGAGGTAGTAACTAGTTGGATAACCTGTGGACTAGCATCTGTACAACAGGAATGTCTGTGTGTTTGAGTAAGTCAGAGGAAGGAGACACCTAGAGTTTAGAGAAAGTGACTGAGAAAAGGAAAGTGTGAGAAAGATACAGGTTTTCCAGCAGGGGACCCACAGGAAGGTGGTACAAGGCAGTGCTTTCTTTGGAAATGAAGATATACTCAACAGGTTGTGCAATCTTCACATAAAGATTGGGATGATACTGAACGAGTGGAAAGTGAATGTTCCTCCTCTGTTCAACAGACATGGATATAGCAACTGTGTGCAAGGCAGGGGACAGGTGCATAGGGGAAAAGTAAAGCTGTCTAAGATGTTGCCGTGAGCTGAAGGAGTAATCTAGCAGTGCCATCAGATCCCTGCGCACCACAAAGCACTGTGTTCCGAGAACCAGGTATGGGGAAGGACCACTTCTGGCCGGCAGCATCAGGGAAGACCTTCTACAGTCCTCTCCTCTCAGCTCCCAGCAGGGTTTCTGCGCTCTGTGAGACTGCTCAGCCTGCCCCCTGCCAGCACTTGCTTATCTTCCTTCTCTTTCTCTGTAGTGTGAGAAACAGAAGCATAAGATCCTGTCCTGCAGATACCTAATACTTGTATTTACAACTGATGTATTGCGGAAGTGTCGCTTTATCTTGGTCCAGAAAGATGGGAGAAGTTTTGGGAAGGGAGAGGTAAGAGGGTAGTGGTAAGGGCAAGGTGTTTTAGTCAAAAGGTGGGCACAAGCCTATAGTACTCTGGGAAGCCAAGGTGAGAGGACTGCCTGAGTTCACGGGTTCAAGACCAGCCTGGGCAACTTGGCGAGGCCTCTACAATAAATCAAAAAATAAGCTGGGCGTGGTAGTGCATGCCTGAGGTTCCAGCTACTTGGAAGGCTGAGGTGGCCTTGAGCATGCCCCCGCGTGCCAGCTTGGGTGACAGAGTAAGACTCTGACTCAAAAAAAATAAAATAAAAATAAAAAGGCAGGCGCAAAGGTATACAAACCAGTGAGTAGGTTTAGTGTGTGGCTTAGCTCAGATGGCAGGAGAGCACCAACACAGCCAAGGACCCCAAGAAGGCAGCAGGAAATCTTCTGCCAAATAGGTTAGTCTGCAGAACTGAAAAGCTAAATTTTTTTTCTAATTATTTCTTTAGTAACAACCAATCTATCCGAGCTCAACCAGAGCATATAAAAGAAAAATGACTAACTAGAGGGTCTTTTGTTTTTTTTAGGTTGGAGTCTCATTCTGTCACCCAGGATGTAGTGCAGTGGCACACTCATGGCCACTGCAGTCTCTACCTGCTGGACTCAGGCAATCCTTCCATCTCAGCCTTCTGAGTAGCTGGAACTACAGGTTCAAGCCGCCATGATTTATTGTCGAGACAAGGTCTTGCCAAGTTGCCCAGGCTGGTCTTGAACCCCCGAGCTCAGGCATTCCTCTCGCCTCTGCCTCCCAAAGTGCTGGGATTACAGGCATGAGGGTCATATATGGTTTTGAAGGACAGCTTCGAGAAAACAGAAAGTCACTGAGTAAATACTGTACTTTCCCCTTCCCAGCAGCAGCAGCAACAACAACAACAACAAAAAGGTGAGGCTGAATATAAAAGTGTAGAGAAAGCTCTTGGATATCTTCTTTAAGTTTGTTTTTGGCGCTTCGGTCTATAAGCAATCAAGATGGAGAGAGATGCTATCCCAAAGAGGAAAGTCTGTAGGAACCAGAGTAGCTGAGCCTGACCATTTGTGATGCCTTTATGCCTAAAAAAGAAAAAAGCAAAATTTAAACACAAGAATTTTAATCTTATACTTTCATGAAAGTTATTATCTTCAGTTTGTTCTTTTTTTTTTTTCATTTATTTTCCAACTTTCTTGTTTTCTAATAAATGCATCTTGGATGGCACACTATTCTCTGAGAAATGGTCTGGCTATTGTCCAGGGTATGGTATTATAAAACTGTTTCTCATGTGATTCTGATTAGTACCAGGTAAAAAGCACTGGTACAGCTTCAGGGCAAGTATTTTGAAGACGGACCAGATATAAATCTTGGTGTGGCCACCTACCAGTTGTGACCTTTGCAGTCACTCAGTATCTCTCATAATCAGTTTTCTCATATGAAAAGTAGGAATAGTAGTATGTATTGCACCAAGTTTTGAGATTATTTATGGGATGATATACAGAAAGTGCTTAGCAAAGAGCCTGGCAAGTAAGTAGTAATGATAAACACCTGTTTATATCATCATTCAAATTTTGAGCCTAAAACAAAGGCCAAAAGAAGATGACCCAATTGGTTTGCTACAGTCTCATCTGCATATAAATAAGTCTCATTTGAATGACCCTTTTAAAAAATATAACTTAAAAAAAAACATAAAAATGATATAATTTTCTACACTAACAGAATAAAGGAGAAAGATCACATGAATACCTTAGTAAATGCAAAAGAAGCATTTGATAAATTCCAGCATTCACTCTTACTAGAAGTTCTTAGCAACTTAGAAATACAACAGAACTTCCTAATTTTGATGGAGACTACAAAACTTTAGAATAAACATAATGCAAAATGTTGAAAGCTTTTCTTTGAGATCCAGAACCACACATGCCTACTATCACCACTTCTAGTCAACACTATACTGAAAGTTCTAGCCACTGAAATAAGGGAGAAACATAAATGAAGGGTATACAGAATTGAAGAAAGAAATAAAACTTTATTTCTAGACACATTTGTATACCTAAAAAACTGAAAATAATTTACAGATGAATTATTAGAATTAATAAATGTTATTTATCAAGAATGCTGGGTATAAGGTCAATATAAAAAACTGACTATATTCATGTACACTACCATTTATAATAGCATCTGAAAGTAGAAGAAGCTAGAAATTAGTCTAACAAAAAATGTGTAAAACCTCTTAGAAATTTTAGATATATTAAATATCTTAAAAAATGGAGATAGGTCATTTCATGGTTTAGAAGACTCAATCATGGAAATATCTGACTCTTTCTGTTCTTAAGAAAAACAGAGTAAAAAGAAAAAATAATGAAAATATGACAATTCTCTCCAAATTACTTATCATAGTTAATCCAATAAAAATCTCAGCAAGTTTATTTTTTGTTTTTGTAGCACATGACAATGTATAAGAATATGCAAAAGTCTAGGAATGGGCAATTCTCTTGAACAACAAGATGAGAGATCCTGTTTTATCAGCTATCAGTGATTATAAAGCTACTGCTATTAAGACAGCATTGTGTTGATCCAAGGATAAACAGATCAATGGGGAGTTTAGAATCAGAGCCATACATATGCAAAAGTATAATATAAGACAGGGCACATCAATGGAGAGGGAATGTCTCAAAAAATAGCTCTGGGATAATTAATTGGGCATCCATACGGGAAAAGGTGAAGTTGGAAATCTCTTAGCCACAAAAAATCAGCTCCAGGTAAGATTAAAGACTTAAGTGTGAGACTTAAGTGTGAAAGACACAATTCCAAAACTGTTAGAAGATACTGTAAATAGTATCTTTATAACTTTTTTTTTTTTTTTTGAGTCAGAGTCTCACTCTGTAGCCCAGGCTGGAGTGCAGTGGCATGCTCACGGCCACCCCAGCATTGACCTGCTAGGCTCCGGATATCCTTCTGCCTCAGCCTTCCAAGTAGCTGGAACTACAGGTGCGTACTACCACACCTGGCTAATTTTTTTGATTTATTGTAGAGACAAGGTCTCGCCAAGTTGCCTGGGCTGGTCTTGAATCTGTGTGCTCAGGCAATCCACTTGCCTCCGCCTCCCAAAGTGCTGTGATTACAGGCTGATCCACTGAGCCCGGCGCTTTATAACTTTAAAGAAAGAAATTAATACATTTGACTATATTGATAAGTTTTTTTTTTTTTTTTTTTTTAGTTGGGTCTCACTCTGTCGCTCAGGCTGGAGTGCAGCGGCACACTCACGGCCACTGCAGCCTTGACCTGCTGGGTTCAGGCAGTCCTTCTGCCTCAGCCTTCCAAGTAGCTGGAACTACAGGTGCGTGCCATCACACCTAGCTAATTTTTTGATTTATTGTAGAGATGAGGTCTCACCAAGTTGCCCAGGTTGGTCTCAAAATCCTGGCCATAGGCAATCCTCTCGCCTTGGCCTCCCGAAGTGCTGGGGTTACAGGCTTCGGCCACCATACCCAGCCTAAATATGTTTATCAAAAGACCTAACAGAGTGAAAAAGGATATTTACAAGACATTTAAATGACAAAGTACTTAATTTCAGAAAAACTAATGTGTGCCTATAAATGGATAAGAAAAGGACAGACCACCTATTAGAAGAGTGTTGGTGAGGGTATGGGGAAATTGTCACTGTCATACATTCGTGTTAGAAGTATAAATTAGTCCCACAGTTCTGAATATGAATAAATATCAAAATTAATAGAATTCATTCTTTAATCTTCAGATTCAAGATCTGGGAATGTATTCTAAGGGAATAAATACCAAAGTGGGCCAAATGTATGAAATTCATGTTCACTGCAGACTGCTCAGAATAGTAAAAAAATAAT